ACAAATTTCTATAGGCATTTCATTAACTATTTCTCTATTATCGCGGCCCCCTTATACAATTTAACTAAAAAATCAACTATATAATTTTAGGACAACGCCCAATAAACGGCTTTCGAGGAAATAAAAAAGGCGTTTACTATAGAACCAGTTCTCAAAATTTTCAACTAATTAAAATTAATAATCGTAGAAATAAACGCTTCAAATTAAACGTCGGGCGGTATACTATTATAATACAATAACAAAGGGGTCCTCTACCTAGTAGCCTACTTCTCCCAAAAGTATTCTATAACCGAATATAATTATAATATTTATAATAAGGAATTACTAACCATTATTAAAGTACTTAAAGAATAATCCCCGGAGTTCTAAAATACTTAGGACAGTTTCGAAATTCTAACGGATTATCAGAGTCTATAGACTTTTATAATGAATAAAAAACTCACGCCCTAATATATATACTAATTACACTTCCTCTCCTAATTCAATTTCACTATTAAATATCAACCGGGTACCCTCCAAATATAGCCCGATATATTTAATAATAAGCCGGAAAATATACTTAATAATATAAATAATAATCGACTACTAACTAGGAATAAAACCCTCCTCGACCCGTCTATATTTATAAATTATATTATTTCTTACAAATTTAATACTAAAGAAATATCTTCTAATAAATTGGTTAAAGTTAATTACCGCGGTTTTATATTCTACTAAAACATTATCGCTACTATTAATAATTTAGGCTACTATAAGTAGCCTAAAACTGTTTAATACGAAATAAGAAAAATAATATTTACTAAATATTATATTATTAATAAGCGGGTATATAAACGCTCAATAATTATCTTAAACCCTTCTAATATTGCCCTTTAATTATAATTAATCTAATACTATTATAAATCCGTATTAGTAAACTACTAAAAATAAAATAAAATATATATAATATTAAATAAGTCCTTTTATTAGCCGGGTATGAATAAGGTAGTATAATTATATTATAAAGCGTATTTACAATATATAAAGACGAAGTATTTTCATTTTTCCCTAATAGGCCTCTTAAAACTGTTATTAATATTATTCGTATTATAGAAGGATATTGCTATAAATTATATTATACTTATAATTCTATATAAGAGAAGGGGCCGGGAGTTTAAATATATTACTGTAATTATTAATAAATTAACTAAAATATAATACTATATTCTAATAGAAATATTAATAATTAATAAATTTATTAAATATTTTATAAATAAAATCTTTATTCTCTATAGTCTACCTAATACTATTATATTAAATAAAGGTTCCTAATTCGTATTACAATTCTAAAAAGCATTATCCGCAAAGTTAAGTATTATATTACAACCCTCCTCAATTTTCCACCAATAGACTAATAAATAGATAGAATATATTAATATAAAAATAGAACGCTACCTTTATACTTATATAAATTAGGCCTAGAATAATTAAATTAATTGGCTACTTCTCGTTAAATTTGTAAATAATAATACGAAATCGGATTTAATAAATATATTTTTTTTCTTCGCTAATTATAGTTTCTACCTACGAATAAGCGTCGAATTAGCGTAACCCTACCCCCTTAACCTCTTAGATTTACAACATACAGAATATTTTAAAGCCGGCGAAATTACTAAACGGTTTAGGAAAGTTCTTAATAAAATTACAGTAATAGTAAAATATATATAAACACATTACAAGGAAAATACTAATAATTATCGTTCTAACGTACTATAATACCGCCCTAGAAATAAAATACTTCTTAATACTACAAACCTTACTACCGGCCGCCCCTAAATAAAGCTATTGCTTCTATAGGAAGGACCTTTTAAAATAATTATAACTGACAATTACCGAATTATATTTAACCTATTATTAAATATAAAGTGTAGATATATTTTCTATATTAGTATAGTAAAGTTATAAATAAAAGTAAATATATTAAGATAGAATAATATATAAAACGTTTAGGCCAATTAAGGGAAGGTAATAAAATATAGAAATAATATTGAAAATATTATTAAATAATCCTTCGAAAGGATTAATACCTATTATTTCGAAAATAGTAGATAAAAGTATTATATTATTTAAAATAAGTTTTATATACTAATTTAAGAGCCAATGAATAATATAAAGTATTATATTAATATCCTCCGTAAATTTAATATTAATAACCTAAAATTGCTAATCCCCCTACAATAGTCTACTATAGAGAAAAGGCGTAAGTACGCCGCCTATAACCTAAATAAAGTTTATAATAACGTAGGACCGGGTTTATTAATAATAGTACTAACTATAAAACGGTCGCCCCGATACGCAATACCGGCCATAAATACCCTCGAAAAGGTTATAAACCTAGTAATAGAGAGCCTCGAATTCTTAAAGGAAGAGGATTAATAATTTTTCTTCCATATATTTTAATACCCAAAGGTATTTTAACCCCGGGGTAATATTATAGGGCTAACTTATAACTATTATTTAATTACAATATTACTATAGCTATAAGTACTAATTAATATACGCTCTCTAATTAGCTAACCCGTTTAACCTTACTACCGTTATAGCGGCTACTAGGCCTACGCGGGCCCTCCTAATTGGCTACACACTCCCGGAGGCTCCGGTCACGTGTGCCAAGGATGCGGCTTATCCTCGCCTATATAGGATGAGCCGCCACGTACAAATTCCATAGTTTTCCTTCTTCCTTGTGCAATTATATAAGTTATATTCTACCCCATGCGTTCAGTATCGCCTTGCCCCGTGACAATACCGGTATTATAATTAGTCTAATGGAACGTTAGGCCGTAAATTATTACGAAGGAGACGTTGAAGATACGACGGTTGATATAATTATCGGACTTATTCAAGAAGATATTAATAAAGCAGCTAGGTTCAATAATAGTATTTTTAAATTACTTTCTTATAGAATTATAAATCTTAAGTAACTACTCTTTATAAATTATTGCAGTATTTAGCGGAGTATATAGTAGGATTCGTAAGTAAAGAAATATCTTTATAGGATTGTTCTTAAAGAAGGTAAATCCCTGGCTATTAAGTAGGATTGCTTTAGTTGCGTAAAAGTCATCCCTCTCCTTTTATTCGTTAGTTAATTAAATAGCGTACTGGCGGATATTATTATAATAAGCGATTTATTATTAAATACAATAGATAGTATACCCCTTGTACTCTATCAAATATTAACGAAGGCGGGTAATATTCTAGGCGGTACAATAAGGATAGTAACGGTAGCTAATGATCTAGTTAACGTGACTTGCCTCTATTACGAAGTTGAATTCTTAATAGATGGCTTGATTCTGAGTTTGACGAACGGGGGCCATTATAGTAATTATAATAAGCAAATCGTTATTTAAGAATATAGTATTTCCAAAAGTTAACAAATAAAAGATTAACTAGAATTAACTACCATACTGTAGAATCTAGATCTAGTGTACAGACTGGTGCACGGACCCTGAAAGTGTAGTAAGACTCGTAAGTGGTAAGGTAAGGAAAAAATGCTATTTTTTCCGTATAGATCAAACACTAACGGTAGTAGTTTTGAGCCATTTTGAGCATTTTAGCCGTAGGCTGCAGAAGAATAACTAAGTATTACTATATATTATAAATCTAATAGAATTAATATGAATAAGTAAAGATATCTTTTATATAGAGTTTTCTACTCTGATTCTAATGGTAGTTTTCATTTTCTTATATAGCTAATATTTATCAAGATACAAAGCTTTAAACTTTAAAGCTTTTACACCCTCAAGGCTGTATTACCTTAATAGGTAGTCTATACTTTATAAAAATGGTACTATTAGAACCGCCTCATTGAGACCATTCTCTATATATAATTACTTTATTTATACAACTATTAATAAGGTTCGAAATGAAAAGAATCCAAAGGTGGAAAAATAGAATACTATTCCCCCAAGGTTATATTACTTTAATAGGTAGGCCGTATACTAAGAAAATTTTACTATTAAAATCGTTTCACTAAGGCTATCCTCTACGTACCATTTCGTTTATTATATAACTATTTTCAAACTTTAAATTAAAGAGTGTCTAAAAGTTCTTAAGCTATAGCTGCTAACGATGGTTTACCTTTAAAGTTGCATTACCATAATAGGTGGTCCGAGCTGTATGGAAAATATATATTTAGAAAGAACTCGAAAGGACTATCCTTCTAGTAATTTGTTTTATATTTTACTATTTTTCCTTACTTTATTATAAAAAGATATATAAAAAGTAAAATCTCTAGTTTATATAGGATCCACTGCGCTTGACCGTTGGAATGCTCAAAATTGATACAGACCTCCTCTCACAAAGTTTGAGGAGACCCACATTTGATGTGGGGCGGGGGTACGGAGGCAGAGGGGGTCAATGTAACAGAGACTAGACCAGGACGTCTAGTACAATACTGTGTTGGTGTACCGGATATTTCCCTACTTGTCCCTGCCCCTGCCCCTGCCCCTGTTGTCCCCGTTCGTCCACACATACGACATCCTATGATGCGTGTCGTCCGAAGTCAGTGTTACTACACTACTTGTGTATATGATAGAGGGAAGCTGCCTATGACAATGACCCCGTCGTCCTCCACCATGACTCGCAGTTCTTCCACCTTTGTTGTCTAGAGGTAGCTTTCCTCCACCCTGAATTCCGTGACAGCGTTCTGTTTTCTCCTTCCTCTCCTTCCGCCTGCCCGCGAATTCCTGGCGCCTCCAGCTCGCGACCACAAGTGCACACGCAGCCGCATCGTTGGCTTGAACCTAAAAAGCCCACATCCACTCGCGGCACCCACCTGCTCATCCACTCACATAGTCAACGAACTCCCTGACTCTCCGGCACCCGTCCGTCCGCCCGCCCTTCGACACAAAGTTCGACTTTCATCGCCAATCCCCCTTTTCCCTCCAAGTCACACATACGCTGCTGCAGCCAACCCCGCCATCGTTCACTTCTACACATCCCATACCAATCGACCAGACGTCATGGATTCTGCGCAGCAAAACAGTAGCGCAGCAGCAGGAGGAGGCAGCAGCTGGGGTGCCTTCCTCAAGGTCTGTCCTCTCCGTCGCAAACACACCGCGCATAAAATAATGGGTCGCTGACTCTTCCGGCCTTGACAGTCCATCGCTTCCTTCAACGGCGATCTCGCCAGCCTCACGGCACCCCCCTTCATTCTTTCTGGTACTAGTTTGACCGAGTTTAGCTCGTACTGGTGTGAGCACCCTCCCGTCTTCGCTGCTCCTGCCAAAGAATCGGATCCGGCAAAGAGAGCGCTCCTGGTTCTCAAGTGGTTCTTAACCACATTGAAGCAACAGTATGCCAGCCGAAGCGAGCAGTATGGCAACGAAAAGAAGCCTCTGAACCCCTTTTTGGGTGAGCTTTTCCTTGGCAAGTGGGAGGACGAGGCCGGCGTTACCGAGCTCATCAGCGAGCAAGTGAGGTGCGTGCATAATCAGCGTCACGAGTCCTTTGTGTTGACCAATGCTAATCACTCTGCATGTGTAGCCATCATCCACCCGCAACAGCCTACAACATTACCAACCTTCCGACCGGCGTCCGACTTGAGGGCTACAACGCCCAAAAGGCCTCATTTTCCAAGACAATCAACATCAAACAGATTGGCCACGCTGTTTTGACGGTCCCATCACCGACGTCGGACCAGCCCGACACCTTCCTTATTACCCTGCCATCTCTCCATATCGAGGGCTTGATCTTCGGCTCTCCCTTTATCGAGCTGGACGGTGCTTCTTACATCACTTCTTCTACTGGATATACCGCCAAGATTGATTACAGTGGCAAAGGTTGGCTGTCTGGCAAGAAGAACTCGTTTGTCGCCTCGCTGTACCCGACGGGCAAGGAGAAGGAGGTGCTTTACAATGTTTCGGGCCAGTGGACAAAGTCTTTCGAAATCCATTCTGGTGCGGCCAAGCACAACAGCAAGAGCACCCTCGTCGACTCCTGGGATCCCGAGAAACAGCATCATACTCCTCTCACCGTTGCCCCGATCGAAAAACAACACCCTCTTGAATCTAGACGAGCCTGGTCCAAGGTCGCCAACGCTATTCTCAAAGGAGACCTTGAAGCTGTGGGACAAGAGAAGAGCAGGATCGAAGTTGCGCAACGCGAGGCGCGTGCCAGAGAAAAGGCCGAGGGGCGTATGTGGCAACGACGATATTTCAGCGTCCACACAGATGCGCCTGATCGTGTATTGACCCTGCTTGGTCCTGCTATTGGACTAGCTGAGCATGGTGATGCGGATAAAACTGGTGGACTGTGGCGGTTTGACGCGACCAAAGCAGAGAAGGAACGTGAGCAACCGCAGCTTAGCGATGAGGAAGCCTCCAAGATCGCCAAGGAGCTCTTAGGGCAGTAAGGTTTTGTGACAACTGCGATCCTGGTGATTTCAGGACAGGGAGCTTTCAAACCCTATGGGGCGAGAAATCATTGGTTTGTTAATAAAATATATAGGGTCATGGGCATTGACATTTCTAGTAATTTGCAACAATTGTCTGTAGCTGTTCCTTCAGGGTTTTTCCCTTTTTCTTTTCTCTTTTTTTTTTTTTTTTTTTTTTTTTTCTTACTTTCTCCTTATTTTTGATCACTTGCAGCCGCAAACAGACTATCCCAGCCTCGAAGACAACGGAGATATGAACAAGTGAGCATGAGGTCATACATGAAAGGTCGGTACTCGCAATGGATGATAATCTATGTGGTTCACACCGAGTATGTTACGAAACGCGTGCGTACGTCTCGATGGGTACAAGTTCGCAACTCATGCTCCAACCCCGCGCTTTATTCATACACTTGATGTTTCCTCACTTGATAGAGGTCGTGATGCTAATAAACAGTCGCTCTGTTATCTGCTTACCGCTCATTGGCGCAGCTGGTATCCCGTGTCCTTAGGTTTGTGCGCTGAATTTAAATGAAAGGAGAATCAGATGTACAAACAGAATAAACGACACACAGGAGCCACACAGAGATCCAGCGTTCATTTTCATCGAGGCAGTGGAAGTTTATGAATTCTCTCGTTCAAGTTCATAGAACAGCAAGTAAACCTCTCGTTGCATGCCTAGTACGTCGCGAGTACTTGCTTCTTTGACTTTGTCGTCACTGATACGCCACCATCGGCTGCTTGATTTGTGCCGTTTGGATTTCACAGTTGTGTTTGGTGTCTTGCTGTGAGGTTTCGACCCGGTTATGTCCGGGCTGCCAGCGCGAGAGGATGGTTTTGAGGCAATCTTGATCAAGGTTGAGCGCGCACAGGCGGCCGCAGATCGAAGGCTGTTCGTGTCGGTATCTCTTTCCCGAGACGTAGATGTCGATCTAGGCTCGTTCGCAGGCGTGATACCGCCGTCTACTCCTGGTGTTGGAGCCTGTCCGGATCCTGGTTGAATGGCTTGTCCAGGATTAATGTTTGAAGGCGAACTGGTGTATATGTACGCCCCGGAAGGTTGAAAGGTACCGGGATTAGAGAAGGGTGGGTATATGTTTTGTCGTCTAAAGGATTCATAGTGCCCGCTATGGTGATTACCCTTGTGCGTCACAACGCCAAGAAGCTTGTATTTTCTCTGCTGCAGAAGGCCACCCAGGGGCAATAGTTCCGGAAATGTAACCTTCGCAAGATTTTTCTGAGAGAAATTGCTCATGTCGTATATCGACCGCGACAGATGGATGGCCAAGATCCTGGGAAATCCTGTCATACGGATGTGCCGAGCTATCTTCCGCTTGGGAGCATAGCGAGGATCCGGCAACTCGACACCCTCTGGTGCCTTCTCAGGATCCGTTTCGATAGCTAGCTCGAGACTGGCTAGAGCCGTGCGAGCTTTCTCCCTCGAGGACTCCGACGTTGACCGCTGAATATCTGCTTCGAGCACGGCCTTGGCATGTAACAACCGGCACTTTTCACATTTGAAATCCTCGATGTACTCGGTTTTGAACATGCCGTCGAAGCATGCGCTCAGAGTTGTTGTTGGGATATGTGGCACGTTTAGTGTTAGGGTGCAGAAGGTTGACTGAGTGGGCCTGGGTCTGAAACCACAAGTAAGGCATTCAATCTGAGATTCAAAGCTTCCTTCAAACGGAAACCCTTCTTCTGCTCTTTCTTCATCGGCGCCGTTCGGAACCGCGCTCGCGGCCGTTGCCGCCGGGTGGTCAGCGCCACTGACCTGCTCACTGGCCCTTAGAGGTAGAGGCCGATCCAGAGCTTCACTGTCTGATGTCTTGCTATCGAGAGACATCTTAGTAGTTGGTTGCTCGGCTCCACGCATAGCGTAGCTTCGCGCTCTCTGGCCAGCATGATACTCGTCGCAGAGCCTCTCAGCCACGACCTGAAGGAACTCCTGGGCGTCCTGTTGCTGTCTACTGATCCGCTGACCAAAGGCAATCTCCAGTGTCCTAACAAACGGCGAGGCCGAGATCGTCTTTTTGTAGATCGGTCTCTCGTTCAGGGCGTCAAGGATATCCTTTAAGCCCTTGGTGACGATACCCATCTGAAGTCCTTCGGCTTTCCACTCGGGAACACCACCACGGACTCGCCATTTGCTTGTCTCGTCGCCTTCGCCTTCGCCACCACTGCCCCAAACATCGCTCGGGACGGTCTGCGCATACACCCAGCCACCGTCCAGGCATCGACGATGAGTCTCCCGGATGAGGTATAAGCGGAGGTCCCCAAGGCCAGCGAGAGCCTGCAGAACTGAGTTGATGAAGCAATCGTTTGCCGGATTGATTAGGCCCACGGCACCATTCCTCTTGATCGAGAACACGCTGGTTGAGTTAGCCGATGGATCATGATCGAGAAAATAGGTGGGACCAAAAACGTAGATTAGCGTAATGGCGGCGAGAGAGGCACCAGCTGCGTAGGCGGCTACTGTGAGTGTCTTGTCAGGCATTATTTTGTGCGGAACGTAGTCCTTTACTGCCTTGCGGCAAGCGGTGGTAGGCTTAAGGCGATTTGTAAGTGCAGATTCGAGAAGCTGTTGTCATGCGTTAGACGGTAAGAAGTCGTGACCGGCCGGGGTGGGGCTAGTCTATCCAGGTCCCAAATTTTCCCACCCTAACGCCCAGTTCAGCTTAAACTAAGTATTTATAGAGCAGAATGGGATATTTAGTTACGTACCACCCCCCCCCCCCTCCTCCTCCCCCTCCTCCTCCTCCTAACAATTAAGAAAAAGAGTTAGATTAAGAAATTACTTACTAGCACTCCTTAAAAACTTACATGCACCTACTTCAGCCAGAAAAATAGTGCAGTTTAGTTAATAATAACTAATATAAGAAATCCTATTTTACTTACAAAACTTTTTCTTTTACAAAGTGCGTAGTATCCTCTTTAATTTAATTATTTCTTTTGGTCTTTTCTAGAGATAACCTCTCCACATGCACAAAAAACCTACATATACGCACCCCCACAAAGAAAAATGGGGCGGTTCAGCTAATGACACCTAACATTGAAATTCCCGTTTTTACCCGCAAAATTTCGTCTTTTCGATATTACACAACATCGCTCTAACTTAGTCATTTCTTTTCCCTTTCTTTCACACGGCCAATTACACTAACACTTTACATATAATTACACTAACTAACGCCAGTAAGTACTATAATTAATCTATATATATTTATACTAGTACTCTATATTTATTAACAATGCCTTTAACGTACGTAAAATTATTATATTTAATTAATTTTTATATTAATTAATTGCTATAAATATCTTCTACTAAACGCCCTTATCGTATATCGACCTCTTTAATTTCTAGTTTTGCTTCTAATACCTCTTCTATTACTTAGAATATAATATAGATTATACTAGCGGATAACCCCCTCTTTTGAATAACTACCGAAAATTATAATGAATTTTTTATTTACTTCGTTGCTTTTTACTATTACTATCGCTTTAGTATTGTAATTCAACGTGCTTAAAAGTTTAATAAACCTAACTACAAAGAGAACAGCTCTATTATTAAGATTATATACTGTTATAATTACGCCGACCCTCGTCCGCTACTAATATAAGATTTTAATATAAAGCGCCGGTCTATATTATGAAAGACTACCCGTTATTACCTATTTAAAATTATATGTTAAATTAAGAAGGCTACTAAGTGGAAGTAGATTGCCCGGGCAATAGATTTAATATACTAAGGCTATACTCCGTTACGCAAATTAGAAGGCTATATTATATTTTACTAAAAGGTATATAATAATAAGATTAATCCGGAAGTTAATACTTTCTTAAAGAATAACCCTCCGCACACCTACGCTATTCCCTATATATACCTAAAACCTAAAAATTATAGGACTATACAGCTAATGACACCTGATATTGTAAATTCCGTTTTCGGGTTATTTCTTTTACGCTTTTTTATATAGTTAATTATACCTATCACCGCCAGCTATTTACACGTCGCATACCAATAATATTGTATACCAATAGCGAACGTTGTATACTAATAACGAATATCGTATACTAACAACGAACGTTGCATACTAATAACGAACGTCGTATACTAATACCTATTACCATCCTTACCGTATCTAATCTCACTCAAATCATTCCCCCTTTACTTTACATCGTCTATAGAAGGCCTTAACTGCGTATAGAGAGCTAGAAATCTAATTAAAGTCCCTAAGGTAACCTACAATACGAGTAAGATTACACCCAAAATACGGTTATTTACATACCAGCTGCCTTGGGGATTTTTGGGTGTATGTAGGGAATAGGGTGGGTGTGCGGAGGGTTACTCTTCTTAAAGAACCTTCTTCTATAATAAAACCTTATAATATAAACCGTTCTTATTATAGTTAAAAGGAAATACCCTAAAATTCCCTAAACTTATAAAAACCTTTATTATATACGTTAGTATCAATACTACAATTTATAAAAGGGTTATAATAATACCTAAATATTTATTAAAAGAATTTATAATAATTATTAGAGTAGTAATCTAATATTTAAGTATAAGAAATTCAATAAGGATAATATATTACGCTATACGTTTTAGCTTACCAAATCCTAATATCGGATATAAATAAAATTCTTATATACTATTTTATTCGATGCAATATATAAAACCAACTATTATCATCTTCCCTTCGTATAAAGTATAGTCCTTATATTAGAAAAAACTTCTATACCTCTATTTTAATAGTATTTAATAATAAAAGAAATAAAGGATTTCCCTTTTTAGTTCAATTAATTAAGGACGCAACTAACGAGCTTGAACCCCCCTACCCTATAGTTGCTATAATTAATAGCGACCCCCAATTTACCTACGCTATAGATTAAACCTTCCCTAATATTTAAAAATAGCGGTATATATAGTATATTAATTATAACGTTATTAACTACTTGGGGGGTTCTGGGCGCCAAGCTTTCTTTCCCCCCTACATTCCATGTAGGGGGCGCCAAAAATTTGGGACAGTATTTTAATATGGGACAGTGCCCGAAATGACCCATGTAGATTTGCCTATTAACGCCGCGCAAAATCGTTCTTTTACATTGTAAATTTTATATAACAATAACGCTAACAATAGTGCCCAATTGCTATTTTTCGTCACATTACTTCGTGAAGCTATAAACCAATAAGATTTTAGTATATCTATAGATTAATCGAATTGCTAATTAACTCACTAATACTAGTGCCTATAAATTACTCCCTCGTCCCCTACGCTGGTGTGATTGGCGCTTAGTAGTATTTCAACGTACGCGATCGATACGGTTCTCTTGAATCTAGTAGTGGCTATAGGAAGCCGCCTTCTATAAAGGATATTATATATATAATTAGGCAATCTCGTAGCTCGATCGGTCCTTATACGAAGTCGCTACGGGAGATTAGTAAGCTAACGGTATTGTTATAATTACGAGGGCGCCCGCGGTTGCTAATATGTAGTAAGGAGGAGGCTATCGTTGCATATATAATCTTTTATTTTAGAGGTAGATTCCTTATATTGTAATCGATAGTAATAGTTACTACTAACCGTTTAAAATTAATAAGGGCGAACCTTCTAGCAATTAAATTTAATAGGTGTTAATTCAACCGGTTTATTACCGACTATCTAGAACTGCGCTCCATAACGTATTGTGCCGTAGATTTCACATACTGTTTTTAGGAATTGAATACTGAGTCTATAAATAACTAGTTCGGTAAGTATAAGGATATCGCCGTTGCCGTCCCTCTTTATGACTATTAGAATAGTAATAAGTATAGTGTCCGTATTGGCTGCGTATTAAATAGTCGTGTAAAGGTTATTGTATTGAGGGAGTTAATTAATGAAAGGAAGGTTAATAAAAGTATAAGAGATAGAGGGGGGGAGAAATACCCTTTGTTTAAGTAAAATCCCTTCTAATTATATAATATACCCTTTGATATTCACTATACTAATTATTAAATTAGTTAGAAATATTTAATTTAGCCAATAAGGAGTTATATACTCTAATTGTTAGAGTAATACTATTAGGCATTATATCCTTATTTACCTTATTTTTAAAACCGATTTAATAGAAGAATTTATTAAAAACGAGTTTCCCGGTAATGTACGCTTTATAAAGTTATTGACTAACTTCTCGAATATAGAGTTTACCTTCGATTAATTAAAGTACTTTAATATATATAGTTTTAAGGCGTTACTGATTTTTAAGAAGATAGAGTATAGTTTTATAAATTAGTTCGGTTATAATTAATATAGATATAATATTCATAATTATTAATTAGAGGATTATACTATTGGTATTGGTAAAAGACGGCTCCCTAATATAGACCCTATATATCGATTGCTTATAATTAATAAGTTTAGTAGCTATTGTAATATAGCGGTTAAATAGTATACTAAAGTATTTAATATTCAAATCCTTGCCTTACTGCTATATTCTATTTATATTATATAGCCGTTTAATATAAGAGTCTTCTCCTCATTTAAATCCTATTATTAGAAAGTTCTTTGTAAATTCGTATAGCGAGGGGAATATAATTTCAACCGTACAACGTTTATTGGAAAGTTTAACAAGATTGTAATTAATAGTTTTATAATTTATAATATAATGGATGGATTTGAGGATACTAGTTTTTAGCTAGTCAATAGATAAAGGTTATTATTATAAATTAAAGCTAAGTAACGCTCTTTTAAATTTGACCCTACTTATCCTTCTATAATACTATATAAGAACTGTTTTAAGAAGGTTATCGAGGTTGCTAACCGTATTACTGACCGTTTCTATTATATATTCAGCTCTCCTATTTGTAATAATTACTCTTATATATCTCAAATTATTAGAGAAGCTGTTCATAACTTTAATAAGATTCAATAATGCAATTAGTACGATTGTAAGAGGGAAGCTAACCTCGACCGTCGTATAAGGAAGAGAGTATATAAAGTCCCTACTAGTGGTCTATCTTTTTCCCTCTCTAAATATAATTTTAATACTATAATAATTGAGAGAGCTTAATACGGAATGTAAGAAGAGATTAGGCGGTAAGAGCGAATTATAAAGAAGATTAATAATATTATGTAAAAGTAGCTTAAAGAGTAATAGAAAGAGGATAAAGAGGGGGGGAAGCTAGCTAAAGTTATATAGAGTATATAGTTCGAAAAATATAAGAAGGATAATTAATAGGAGTATATCCCTATCTACAATAATAATATACTTAATATAGAGGAGAGTCTCCTTTATTAAATCGATAAGGAGGGTAAACCGCTAGTATATTAGTAAGCTTAATATTATATAGAATACCCCTTACTAATTATTTTTAATAATAAAAAGGATATTAAAATTATTATTAGTTGTTAGCTAGCCGCCTAGTTAATAATATAGCCCGCCGCCTAGTTAGAAACCTTCTCTCAAATTGTTAGAGACCCTTGTATATAAATACAATTCGAGGAGGATATAGATAAAATTCTTATTGAGGATTTCTATAAGGATAATATTATTATAGTAATGGGAGAAAAAGTTAATAATAAGGAGGAGGATAATGATAATAAGGATAAAGAAGATAGGGAGCTTCTACTTAGCGAGAGGAGGGGTAAGCCAATTAGTTAATTAATTGCCTAACTTAAACCTCCAATTATACTAATTCCTAAAAAATTTGAATAGTGTATACCCCCTACTATTAATATAACTTTATTACCTAAATTTAGTAGTCCCTCTTTAGTAGTTACCGCTATAATTCCCCTCTTTTTACAAGAACATAGATTTGAGGATACTATATAGGAAAGTACAATAAAGTTATTAATCGAAGGTATAGTCCGACTTAAAATAAAGTATTTAAACGGATAATAGCCGGGAGGAGCCTTAGTAAGGTAAGAAGAGGAAGTTTGAGGTATATACGAATAAGAAGGGGGTTTAATTCGCTACGTACAATACTATAATGTACTTCAATAAATAAAATAAATTATTAGATCTCTTATTATATATATATTCTTCCTTTTTAGATAATTTATTAGGCTTCCTAGTAATATTATATTAATAAATCTTAATTTGCAGTATGGGTGTTGAGTATGTAGATGGGTTACTTTGCTAGTAAATTTATATGTGGGGTGTCCTATATTAAAATACTGTCCCAAATTTTTGGCGCCCCCTACATGGAATGTAGGGGGGGAAGAAAGCTTGGCGTCCAGAACCCCCTAAGTATTTTAAGAAGGATTAAGCAAGTCTTCCCTCCTCTAATTAGAGCTAAGAAGTGGAGGAGCAGTGTAATAAAGAGGATTTCGAAAATTTAAAGCAATATTATACACGGATTTCAATAACTACTAAAGCTAAAGCTAAATTAGACCCCTTACTAAGGAAGGTCGCTAATATACAATTAGTACTATTATTGTTGTAGTGGTATATAATCTACTCTTCGAATATAGCAGATTTCAAACATACTTAATTTATTTTATAATATTAATTTAACTGTAACTAGGAGGATATCGTCTTATAAATTAGGGAGACGTTATTACTCTATAAGAAGGAATAGGCTAGTTATTTTACTAAATATTATTTTAATAAATAATAAAGAATTATATTACTAAATAAGGCTAACAACGGCTCCCTAAAGAATTATACACTTTTAATTCGTGATAGTTTAATTAAATTATATAAGGCTTGCCTCTAATATATAATTTACTATTATAAAGTTTATATAAACAAGTTAGTAAAGTTTAATACCTATTTACGTATTAAGTAGGTTAATTGTGAGTAGATGGGGGAGTACTTATATAAATTATTTATATAGGTACTTAATTTTTGGATTACTAGTATTATAAATTCAAAATTATACTACCCTCTAGTAATGTCCCTAGTACCCTTCTCGAACTTTATTTAATTAATTTTGGATTTTAATATAGGTTCCCTTATACTTATAAGATGGAGTTACTATTTAAAGAGGGTAAGATAGTGCTAGTGATCAAAACGGTTTATTACCCCTTTTAATATTTGTACTAACGTTGCGTAAATTACAATTACTATTTATAATCCGGTTACTCCTTATATTAATTCGTATATTAGGATATAGTAGATAAATATCTTAAATATAAATTAACTACCAAAGTAATATCAAAAGGCGGCCTATATAAGTAAGGGGAACTATTTAGTAACGAGCTAATATTTATAGTACTACCGCTCTTAATAAGGTCAAACAAATCTTCCTAACTAGTTAGGCTAAGGGATAAATTACGTAACCTAGCTACTATTCAAGCCTTAATGCACTACAACTATTCCCAGTATAAGAAGGGGCCTAGTATTAAGTAATTTAATATTTAGGATAAAGTACGGAACTATATTAAAGTAATTAATAATAAGGAGGAGGAGGAGGACGATAAATTAGGTAGATACTAGGAGATGAGGGCAGAGGAGTAGTTGGCGAGAGAGCAGGTGGCGGCTAGAGAGTTATTACTATCCTCCTCTAAACTCTCTGACCTACTAGACGTAAGCTTTGAGCTACTAGATATAAGTATTTTGAATAAAATAGAGTAGAGTATAATATAACCCCTCGATACTACGAGAGTATTACTAGATTAACACTATTAAATTTACTAATAAGACTAAGATTTATAGGGTATTAACTGGGTTGACCCAGCTCAAGATATGATAAATTGCGTTTTTTATAGCTAAAACCATCTAATTTACATAACAGCTGCTACCTGGACTTAAGTGCGTACCTCAAGGTTTTTGGTGCGTGTGGAGAGGTTATCTCCTTTTCTATACTATTATAGGGATACGTAGTATCTAAAATTAAAGATTGGGCTTTACTGAGCCTATTAAGCTAGGACCGCCCGTATTAGTAAGGATATAAGCTTTCTAGTTAGTTAGATCTATATATTTAGAGTTTACTTGCTGACACGCACCCAAAACTTACAGGCACGTACTTTTGAAATTAGATAACTAATATGTAAATATATCGTTTGAGTTGTAGGAATCGTGATTTTCAATGTTATAAGGTGGGTCAACCTAGTAAATCCCCTGTAAATCTTGATCTTCAGCGGGCGGGCAAGCAAATCTAACACTACCAATCTGATAGAGCTAATCTAGTAATACTTTCATGAAATTAATGGGTTTCTCTACTCTACTCTAGTCTAAATACTTATATTTAACAGTTTAAAGCTTACATTTAGTAGATTAGAGAATTCAAAGAGCTTGTTAAATAACTTATAGAGATAGGAGGAATCTAATAATAACTCAATAGCATTATCCTCCCTCTCCCTCTCTCCCTCCCTCTTCCTCTCTTCCTCTCCCTCTCTCGCTATTTACTCCCTTACCCTCACCTCTTAATATCTCCCCAACTCGTTATCCTTCTTCTCCTCATCGTCGTTAACTACTTCGATACAACTACGTACCTTATTTTAGGTATTAAGCTCCTCGATACTAGGCCCCTTCTCATATCGAGAATAGTTATAGCGCGCTAAAGCTCAAATAGTGCCTAGGTTACGTAATTTACCCTTTAACGCGGCTAGTATATATATATAGCCTTACTTAACCCAACTAGCGGGATAACGAATATAGGTTTATTAAGAGTTAACTTGCCGACACGCACCTAAAACTTACAAGCACACACCCCTACCAGAAAGCTGGGGCGGTTCAGCTGATAACACCTAACATCGTAATTTCCGTTTTTACCTGCAAAGTTTCGTCTTTTCAATGCACGCAACATCGCTCTACCTTAGTTATTTGTACCAACACTTTACACTACACTGCCACGTACGTTCAATCGTCACATTCGAGTTCTATCGCATTCAATTTAATTCTATCACATTTAATTGTAAAGTCTAATGCGAGTTGTTTTGAGCCCCTCAACACTACAGGAATATCACTATATTAGCGCTGTCAGATTAGCGCTATTAGATTGGCGCTATCAAGCTAGCGCTGTCAAACTAGCGCTATTAAACTTACTTGCCCGCTGAAGATTAAGATTTATAGGGGATTTACTAGGTTGACCCACCTCATATTATTGAAAATCACGATTTTTATAGCCAAAACGACATAATTTACATATCAGCTATCAGATCCCAAAAGGGCGTGCCTGTAAGTTTTTGGTGCGTGTTGTCACGGCGGTGGCAGACCACTACGCTAGCCAACTCGTGTTCCCAGCAAAAGGATACAAGTAACCGAAGCTGGTAGTTCGGTTACTCAAGTGGTCTTATATTGTTGCGACGGCGCATTCCGCTTCAACCGTCACACGTGTCGGCAAGTAAACTCTTTATTAAATAGCCCCCCTTACTTACGTAGATAGCCTTTAAGCATTACTCTAGCAGCTAACTTAAATTTTAGATATATATCTACCGCATTCTAATATAACAGTCAATATAAAAATTACTCGGAGTGTAAATAATAGCTTACACATCGTTAACGCAAGTGCTAGAATAGATAGTAAGCTTCCTTAATTACTAAGGCCGTTTTACCCTCCTCTTTTAATAATACTTCGATCTTATAGGTACAAGGCAATCCGTACTATGCTCTGAAACTCTCTATATAAGTGTCACAGGGTTTACTCAACCGTAACATCGCTATATAAGCGTGCATTAGATATTCTGTTCAGCGAATAGAATATTCTTTCATCTTTTGGTGGTTTAGCCTAGAAGTATTGTACACTTCTAGTCCGTGACACTATGTTCTGTTCCAGGGTGCGGATACCGTGGGTTTAATTCCGCGCAAATGACAATATTGGAAACGGTTTTCGAGCACACCGTCGCGACTGATATGTGTCAAGGACTGTCGCATTCGAAAGTGCATTACTTTGAGGTAGTGTTATATAGCCTTAGCGACCGCAAGAAGGCGGGAAGATAGCTAAGTCCTTTCCTTCCCAAGACGGGCCCCAGAGCGGGAAGGTCCCTAGAGCGGGATTTTAAGGGAAGGTAGTGTCATAGGGTTTGCTCAACCGTAACATCGCTATATAAGCGTGTATTAGATGTTCTGTCCAGCGAACAGAACATTCTTCCATCTTTTGGTAGTTTGGCCTAGAAACATTGCACGCCTCTAGTCTGTGACAATAAGGCTCGAGAGGGGTGCTAGGGAGCCTCAACCGTATAGAAGGTAGTAATATATTAAAATTATAGTATTAATAATCTATAAAACTAAATACCTATATAAATAACGTATATGGGTGGTTACCAATCTACTCGCGATTAACTCACTTTATACGTATATAACTATTAGACTTCGTTAATAGATCGATATACACCTTATAATAGTAAGAGTTAACTTACCCACACGCACCAAGAACTTACACGTACGCACCCCCACTAGAAAACTGGGGCGGTTCAGCTGATGATACCTGACATCGTAAATCCCGTTTTCGCCCGCAAAATTTCGTCTTTTCAATGCACGCAACATCACCGGCCATTTGCACCAGCACTTTGCACTGCACTGCACTACACTGCACTACACGCAATTACACTACACCCATCCAAACTATCTACATCTACTATATCCACTACATTAATGTACGTTTAATCGTCGTATTTAATTGTAAAGTGTAATACGAGATATTTTAAGCCCCCGGCCTCAATACTATGGGAGTATCGCCAGATTGGCGCTATTAGGTTGGCGCTGTTAGGTTGGCGCTATTAAATTAGCGTTATTAGATTAACGCTGTTGGATTGGCGCTGTTAGATTTGGTTGCCCGCTAAAGATCAAGATTTATAGGGGATTTACTAGGCTGGCCCACCTTATGACGATGAAAATCACGATTTTTACAGCCAAAACGACATAATTTACATGTCAGCTATCAAGTCCCAAAAGTGCGTGCCTATAAGTTTTTAGTGCGTGTCGGCAAGTAAACTCAATAGTAATTGATATACTAGAGATAAGCCTTATAGAACTTAATTAACCTACTACGAACTAATGAACTATAACTCTCAAAGGAGCTATTATTGAATTTGAATGGTAACGTTGTCCTTTGCTCTTAATTAAAATAATTCTCAATAAAGTAGCTACCCACTGTCACAGGCATTGCTGCCATGTTCCTGTATATAGATAGAGGGTGCTGTACTACATTAGTGCAGTCAGCTATGCAGCTGCCTAAGTGCAGTACAGCAGTTACGTGCACGTATTGGTGCAGTAGTTACGTGCACGTATGCTACGGTCCCCGGATCCACAGTATGCCCTATATAGTTCTCGTACGTACAGGATTCTCTTCCTGTTCCTCGTACAATAATTAAAGTCTTACCTTAGTATTTGCTCGCGCTCCGTAATACTTTATTATATTTAACCTTCGTATTAAAGTGTAGTAAGTAGTTTCGGTTAAACTAAGTTTAGTAGAGGTTAATGTAGTAAAATAGTTCTTACGAAATTCACTCTTTAGCGAATTGTATAATTATTAATAGTAAGTCGGAGATTCTAGCAACGTCGATATTATCGGCCTAGAATAATAAGTAAGTATTTAGAACAACGAGGGCGTATTTATTTTATTGCGTAATATAGTAAAGAATATCTCTTTTTCTATTCTAGTTATTGATAAACTATTAATTTAATTATTATATATATATATTGTCTTATCACGCTAACTAGTTATACTAGTCTACCCAAGGGGTATGCGGTACTGCTTCGTTCGTAATCTAAGGGAAAAACTGTATTATTGAAATTCGGATAAAAACCCTCAGCTTTTCTATATTCAACCCTAACCCTAACCCGAACCCTTCGTCCTACCTTACCGTAGGGGGCCCGGGGAGCCTTAGCTACTTTAATTTTTATTTTCTTTCGGTATATTTCTTTTAGTCTTAGGGACTTTCGTTACTTCTAATTAATCCTTTAAACCCTACTTCCCTACCTAATACTTTAATAATATTCTTTGTTCCGGAAGTAGGTATTCTTCTTTTATTCTATTTTTAGGGTAGGGGTAGAAAAGTAGGGTTTTACTTTCTTAATTGGAATCTTCGATTTTATTAGGATTGGTAAAATAATATAATTAGTTAATTATTATATTACCGGACGGGTTCTATCCGAGCGGAACTGTAGTTCTAGAATAGATTTTGAAGGTAGGGTTCCAATTCCTAAAACCCTATTAGCGGAGCGGGGGAGGCCGGCGCATCTTTAATTAGAATAAGATTTTTAATACGTGCCTAATTACGTACACTTAGGGTTTTAAATTAGGGTAGGCCCCTATATTTAATTTCGTTGTAAATGTTCTTCTTTTCTTAAGAGCGTTTAGTAGAGCGATAGCGGGGAAGATCTTTTATCCGATCCGGCCGAAAAACCGGATAAAAGAGGGGGGGGGAGCGGGATTCGAACCTACGACCTTTCGGATGAAACCGAAAGGGGGCCAAGCTCAGATCTTCCCAACTGAGCTATCCCCCCTAATTATTATATAGATAAAATATTTAGTAACCTAGATTATAATAGCGATAATTAAATCGACCTTACTATAGTATTCCCTTTATTACTTAAAGGTTTTAATATATTATTCGTAGTATATAGCAATAATTCTAATATTAGCCTTCGGGTTTTACTTAAATTTACAGAATAAATTAGGGGGTATAAGGAAGTTATAAAACTTCTATACTACTTTAATAAGAAAATTAAATTATTTAATAAGAATATTATAATTAAGTAGGAGAAGTTTAGAAACTACGAATACGATGCCGAGGCGTATATTAAGAAGACTAGTTAGGATATAAAAGTAATCATTAATTCTATGAATAAATTCGAGAATACTAAAAAATAGTTCGTAGATTAATTAAAGGTCCTCTAGGGCTAGTATAATTAAATTTTAAGAAATAATATTTCCTTAAAATATAAATTAATAATCGCTGAAAAGGAAAAGGTTATTTATAAAAATAATATAGTAAAAGTTATTAAGAGTAAGAAAATAGATTATTAAAATATGTTCGATTTATTCGATACGGTTAACGCTACGTTTAACGAAGTTAGAAAGGAATGTAATAACGTCCGTATTGTAACTAAAATTGCGTAGGAGGAGTTAATTAAAGTATAGAAGGAAAATAAGACCTTCTATAAGGACCTTCGCTTTGTAGAAGAAATAATTTTTATTATTAAAAATAATTTAAAGGAGGCCGAAATTGGAAGTAAAGCCAAATTCTAAGCTATAATCGAAAATAAAGTCGAGGAAATTATCTATAAAGTAGGCGGCGTTCCTAATAATAATAACCTTAGAGGATTGGGTAAGGGAATTGGCTTTAGCTTTAGTAGTATAAGTAGCAATCCTAATAATAGCGGTCTTAAAAGATTAAATAAGGGAACTAACTTTAATTCCGGAGAAGTAAATAGCAGTCCTAGTAGTAGAGGATTTCCGGGTAATAGAGGCAGAGGATTCCTTAGTAGTCCTAGAAACCCCGGCAATAAAGGTTCTAGCGGATTTAGAGGTCCTAGCGGCGCCCCTTTCCAACCTAACCCCTCGGATAATTATTATTATAAAGTACTTTATAAGGATTCCAAATATTTTAATAGTAAAGAGATAGATATAATTAAATACTATAATACTTATAGCGCTTAGAATTTAATTATTTATAATTATTGATTAATAAATAGATATAAATTCCCTAACGAGCTATCCAAATTCCTTTATACTATAGCCTACCTTAATAGTAAGGCTAAAATTAATATTAGTAATTATTATTAATTTATTTTAGAAAACCCTTACTATTCTATCTATTAGACGTGGAAAACGGGCGAAGAATTTTTGGTATACTTAAACGAGCGTTATAAGTAAGGAGATTTAGTAATTATTATAGAAAAGGAACTGTTAAACCTTAAGTAAGTTGGAAAGTATTTAAATTATAAGGATTTTGAAGTTCGGTTTATTTTATTAATAAATTACTATAATTATAATACAATTATTAAAATCCGTTTTTTATATTAGAAGGTGTTTAAATCCTTAGTAAACTTAGTCTCCTACTATTTTATCTAATCCGAACGTAACAATTGGAAGGGATGGTCGACCCTATTCTGCGGTATTATAAAAGTTTACGCTAAAGTATTATTTTGTAATAATATTATCTAAGTTACTACGAGCGGCGGTAGTGATAATAGTAATAATAATAGGGGCGGCTATAGTAATAATAATAAGTAGAAGGACCCCGACTTTATAAATATCGACCGTGTAAAGTTTATAAAAATTTATAGGGACGTCCTTTAAGAGTATTATAATAAGGGTAATTATATAAACTATAGTAAAGGAAAAAATTTAGTTAAGGATTGTAAAAATAATACTAATTATAGTAATTAAGGTAAGTAATCTAATTATTTAAGTTTAAATATTATTATATATTAAAGGTCTAGCGTAGGCGGTACCCCCGTTACTAATTGTACAATAGTAAATACGGTTAACCCGGCCTTGGCGGCCCTAGTAGCCCCGGTCTAAATTTTAATAGCTATTACGGCTGTAGCCCCTACCTAATAGGGAAATAGCGAACCCTAGGGCTAAATTGTACCCCGGGGTATTTAGGGATATAAAGAAGGAAGATGGGAATAAATAGATTTAACGTCTGTACTTTCAATTATTAGAGGATAGAACCGTTTAGATTAAGTAGTTTAGATGTGAGATCACCAACGAGATCAAGCGGTTGAATGCGATTGATTGAGTGTGTGCTATGGAGAGAGAGAGAGAGAGGGAGACTGGCAAAGTCTGGAAGGCTAGATGTGGTGCGGTCTGGGCAGGGCACAGAGTGGGGACTGGGCTGTGCCCAGCCCAGTGAATGCCCGGGACCCACCAACATTAGAACTTTATAAGTAGAATATAACCCTTTTTTCTATATACCTTTAATATTCCTAATATAATAATAAAATAGAATACGTATTACTAGTAGATTTAGGATATTTAAGTAAGGCTTTTATCGACTAATTATTTACCGAGAAAGTATATCTGGAATTTAAACCTTTAAAAAATTTACGATTACTATATTTAATAGACGGTGCTTTTCAATTCTTTATAGTTAATTTAATAGTAGACTACCCGGTTATTTTAGGATAGTTATAGATATAGTTTTATAATCTAAATATCAATTGGGTGGCTAATAGAATCGTCTAAAATGTCGGATATATAGGGATGTATATAAACTAACTTCTAAAAGTAGCAGCGCTCTAAAAAATTTAAAAGATAGAAGAATCCGAAGAATCCGAAGATAAATTCTGTAATTCTAGAAACGAATTTAAAGATGAAGACGGGTTTATAGAAGGATTTAATAAGGAGGATCTTTTTAATTAGATAACTAATATTATAAAGGCCCCTAAAAGAAGTTAAGTTATAATAATAGAATCCCTATCCCTACTAATATACGTAAGTGAATTTAAAGAACTATTAAATCTAAAAAGGAAGTTTGTATTAAAGAAAATAAAAATACAAATTAAAATTATTAACGGACGGAGGATTTAGATAA